CAAATTTCCAAATATTTCCTTCTAGAAAATATCTGGGCTACAGAGAGTAAAAACCGGTCTGCTTTTTCAACCACAATAAGTCGAATAGAGCTGGAATTTTTTTTACAGAAAATTAATGGTGCAATATTGTTCAAAACAAAACAGCGTAAGCACTCCAAACAGTGACTTGTACCTGTAAAAAAAGTTTCAGCTCGATCAGATGTAGTATATCGAAGAAACGGGAACGATTCTGCACTTTTTTTCCGTGTAAAAATTGATTTTAACAAAACCGAAAAACAAATTTTTGTGTATATATCAGAACTTTTTTTCTCCAACTAAAGTGATCAAAAACTGGCTATGTTCAACAGTGTGAGAGGTTCATGACCTGTGCTCTTAGCACCTTTAAAAATTATCATTAGGAGAATTTTTCATACAAAGAATAATTGTAGCGTGAATTTTTCTGCTAGGAATTGCGAGAGTTGGGTTTAATAAAAGTACTAATTAATAAAGAAAAGCCCTCATTTATATGGCATTTGACAAAGTATGCAGCGAAGCTATATGAAAAATCGAAAAATTTTGATATTAACATCCGAAAAGCAGGGACAAATTTCATTAATGTCAATTATATTCTTTGTATAATTGTGAAGTTTATTTGAATATTTTAGAAAAAGAATATATTATGTATCGATATTTAATTCGTTTATTTAAAAAAATTTTATACTTATTAAGATATATTATTACGCAATCAACTTATATTTTACTGATATCAAAAAATTGGAATTATAAATTGATTACAACATATTTCATTTTAGTTATTTTTTCAACTACAGTACTTATTTATAATCAATCAAATAGTAATATAATTTCCAACTTATTATCAAAAACTTCAATAGTTGAAGATGAAATTATCCAAGTAGGTGCAAGAAAATTTCTTTTCTTAGTATCAAATTCATAAATTTATATATTATTTTAGTGTCGTTTTCCACAATTATCATTGAATAGTAATAAATTAAATTTTACTATTTCAAATACTCTTCAACCAAAATGTCGATCATGGTTTCATCCAATTGTTATAGATAATTATAACGCACGACTTATTGTATCACATCTTAATTGTACTATTATATTTTATCTCGGTGAAGGTGATGGAGAATATGAAAAAGTTTCAATAAGATTATTGTACAATGTTAGTATTGTACTTTTAAGTGATTATTTTACTGTTCAATGTGAAGATGATATTAAAAAAATATTGTATCCTAATTTACCTTATGCATCAATACATTATAATCCAAATATTCGAAAAAGACTTGCAAGCGTAAAAAAGAATGAAGATGATTTTAATGTATTGATTTTAGGTCTTGATAGTGTATCAAGATTACAATTTGAACGAATGTTACCACAAACATTTGATTATATAACTAAAGAATTGAATGGTATTGTTCTTAAAGGTTGGTTGATATATTTAAGTATGAAGATAGACAAAAAAAGGAATCTAATGAGACAACTAGTTTGTCGAATAAAGGAAATCTTCTTTCTGAAGAAGAAATCCATCGGATTGATAAAATCTGTTTGAGCTCATATTTTTCTCATGGACAAGATTCATAGTATAGATAAAAATCCTCAAAGGGTTGTTACCATCAGATCTTCCTTCTTGAATTATGATCATTTGACTGAATTTTCAGCTTATTGTAGAATATCGCAAGCAAAATCATAACAAGAAGGTTCGGTCTGAAATTCTTTCCAGTGATACCTACCATAGTTCTTATGATATCCTGAAAGTTTCAGTTTCATCGAATGTTTTCCTTCTGAGGTAGCACATTTGCAAAAAATATTACGTTCACACAAAGGCCATAAAAATAGCCTAACCTTTAGGCGTGCGATATGTTAAGAAGAAATCATCCGTTTGAGCTGAAACTTTCAGGATACAAAAAGGCCATGAGAGCTATTGTTGGAAGGAATTTTGGGCTGAAACTCCTTGTTGCGATTTTTCTTGTGATATGCTGTGATAGACTGAAAGTTCAATAAAATGACCATGACTTGAGAAAACAAGGTCTAATAGCACGAACCCTTTAAGAATTTTTATCTACACTATGAGTCCTACCTATGGGTAAAGTATAAGCTCAAACAAAAAATTATCAGTTCGATGCATTCCTTCATAAGATATTGTAAATTAACTTTTCTTCAATTTTCAATAATTCGAAAAGAAACACTTTGTTTGAGATGAAATTCGTAAGATGTTCTAAGGATTATAAGGTCTAATGATGAGCAATATTTCATTTTATTGTGATAGAAATTAAAATAGCAGAAAAGTATGGGCAACTCTGTAAGAAATATATAAGCATTAAAAATCTAAACAGGTCTACCTTTCATGGCCCTAGTCGATCTATGACAAACGATGAACTTCTTCAGTCTGTCTGTGATTACCACCTGTTTTTGTCGGCCTAGCTAGTCTACGTACTACGCTCTATACTTGCTGTTTATTTTTACATTTCATACTAATATCATGATAATAATTGAATGGAAGCATAAGACTGTCTTTATAAGAAAGCAAGAAAAAAATCATGACTGCATCAAAAATTGAATGATTTAGTACAATATGTATGCATTGAGAATAGAGCAAAAAGAAAACATTAACCTTCAAAACAAAAACTCTTCTTGTGACTAAGAATATTTTGGATGAATTAAATGAACTAATTAGTAGTTGAACAAAGATTATGAAGTTCTGTTATATTATGACAACATAAATATTAATCAAAGAACAATAAGAATTAGTCAATGATTTACATAAGATAATGATAGTAACTGATTAAACAATGCAAATAATAATATAGTGAAACAGATGAACAAATTGAATAAATAAATGGACAATGAACAATACAGTTACAGTTAGAGATGCGCAGGATAAAAATTTAAAGATTTGCTGCGATCAGATCACGACCACAAAAAAAAAAACGTTGTCGTACCTAGAGCTAAAGATCATAGTTAAATGTACTATGGCTTTAAGCAAGTTATCGTATAAACCATGTCAATCAGAACATAATTCAAGAGACATGATCTAAAAGAGTGCTAGTCATCGACTTAAATAAATAAAAAAAAACGAGTATTGAAGGATTTTTTAAGATGTGATACGAATAAATTCTGGATTAGTTTTCTCGAGATTGAAACCAAAAAAACTTGACCTTGCATATTTCTATTCACAATTTATTATTAACCATGATTGTGTCACAGTCCAAACTATATGAAAAAAAAATCATTTTGTATCTTCTATCTACAAAAATACTTCATTGTATATTCTGATATTGGCATTGTCTACTAGAAAAGGAAGTTTTTTTTCTTTATTGAAAATGTAGAAAAAAACATGGCAAGAAAATGGTTTGGTTATTCTGAGCAGCCTACTAGAATTTTAAGAGACTCGAAAATCAGAGTCTGTGTCTGTTTCAAGCAGGTGAATAGGTTCAATAGTCTGTTTGAACTTCTGATGATCATGAATCTATTCTTATCCCATCAAGCACTATTTTCATTGATAATAAAGAATCATAATTTGCGAGACAGATGATAAGGTTTTTTATCCTCTATGTAAAAAAGAAAGATTTTCTTCTTCATACTAATTTATAATCTATTGTTTTATAAGTAAAATATAATTTTTTTGTAAAATAAGGTTACAATATATTGGGTGATGGTACTCCACAACAATTAATTCCAATGTTAACAGGTTTCAAAGAAACTGAATTACCTTCAACACTTTATCGTGATCGTAATGGTTCATTTGTTGATATATATCCATTTATTTGGAATAAATATCATCAACAAGGTTATGTAACAGGTTATGCTGAAGATCGTGTTGAATATGGTACATGGACATTACGTTTAAAAGGTTTTAAAAAAACTCCAACAGATCATTATTTATTACCATTTTATCGAATGGGATCAACAAAATCTTTATTATATAGAAGGAATGCATATTGTATACGTAATGAAACATCATTTGATATATTTCTTTCATATATTGAACAATTTTGGTTATCATATTCTGAGAATAAGAAATTTTTTTTTGCTTTTTTTAAACAATATACACATGATGGTTATACAGCTACTTCAATACTTGATTTATCATTATTAAAATTTTTAAAAAATTTGAATCAAACAAATGATTATGAAAAAACTATTATTATACTTATGACTGATCATGGTGCACGTTTTTCAATTGCACGACAAACACCACAAGGTAAACTTGAAGAACGTTTACCATTTATGAGTTTTATTTTTCCAAAATTATTTAAAAAAAAATATTCAAAAGAAATAAAAATTTTACAGAAAAATATTTTTCGTTTAACAACACCATTTGATATTCATTCAACTTTATTATCATTAATTAATATGAATCAAATCAATGATAAAGTCAAGAATTATACAAAACAACGTAATATATCTTTATTTCATTTAATACCAGCACAACGAACTTGTGATGATCTTAATCTCGAACCACATTGGTGTTCATGTTTACAATGGGAAAATCTTAATATAAATGATACAAAAGTCAAACAAGCAACAAAACATATGATTAGTTATATAAATAAACAATTATTATTAGTTAAAAATAATTTATGTCATCAACTTCAATTTCATTCAATTCATAATGCACAAGTCTATCAACCTAATCAAGCTCTATTAAGATTTTCACGTTCGTCTGATATTGATGGTAGAATACCAACATATAATGATAAAAATACTCATATAATATTTTATCAAATAACATTTGAAACACAACCAAATAAAGCTATATATGAAGCAACAACACAATATTCAAATAGATCAAATAAGTTTTATACAGATCTTAATCATATTAGTCGTCTTAATGCATATAAATCATCAGCATCATGTATTGAAAGAGATTATTCATATTTAAGAAAATTTTGTTATTGTATTAAATAAGGTTAATTTTATTCTGCATGTGTGTTTTTTTTTCTTTTAATTTCAATTAGTCAGATAAGAAAAAAAATTTGATATTTTAGTATTCAAGTTTAATTATATAAAAAGAAAAAAACTATGAAAATAAAAAGTTTTATATTGATAAAAATTTGTTCAGTTGAACTGCTACTTGTTGTTGTAGATATTTGTGTTACTGTACTACTACTTGTTCTTGATGATGTTATTGTCGGTAAAATTGATGTAGATGTTGTACTAGAACTAGTATTATCAAGTAAACAAGTAAGATCAGGATCGACAGTAACAGCATCTTTCAATTGTTTGAAAGTCGTAAAATTATTACAATTATCATTCAAACAAACAGCTGCCATTTGATAGAGAAAAGAAGTTTTTGAACGAATGTAATAGATAAGAGTCATATCAACTTGAGCTGGTTCTCTAGAAAGAATACAACCACTAGTAAAATGCCATCCACTACTACATTGTCCTAAACTAGTTGTAGAATTTCGTGTGGCAACAAAATTACATGCATGATTAGGACAAGGTGTTACTGAACAGGCAGACATATCTGTACCAGTAACATCTGTATCAAGACATGTATTGCATAGATAACAACTATTATCAAGTTCACCAGTAAGTAATCGATTAAGTGTCGCATTTGGTATACGTATATTTAATGCATTAGGTAAACGATTAACATTTTCTGGATTATTGCAACCACTATATATACAAAAAAATAGAATTAATATTTCAAAAAATTCTCAATTTACTTAGTATCACATCCATATGTAATTGGTCCATATTCCCAATCCCAACCTACAGCTTGAGATGGATTTTGATATACAGCTTCTTCGCCAAAAACAAAATGTTTTTCTGCTGCATTTGAAATAATAGATTCGTTACCAATATGTCCAGCACGAAGTGATCCAAAATCGCTAGGATCTAATGAAATATTGCGTGTAAGTAGACATGTGCTACCCACTTGAAATGTTTGAGAACATGCTGGTAAACAAATACTACTTGCCGGAAATGTCGATGAACATTCGTAACATGATAGAGCTGAAATCGAATGATTACAATAAAAAAATAATAATACTATAGTACAGTATAAATTCAACATATTGTATCCTTTAAACATCATTCTACAAAACGAATGAAATAGAGTTGTGAGTCAAAGACATTTTATTCTCATAGGATAATCATAAAATCCAATGTAGGCAAGCAATGAGTTAATTTGACTGTTATCAGCAACCTAGATGAATGCTAATAAAACAATAATATATCTAATAAAGAATTATACCTACACTTGAAAGTAACTTGATTTTCAGTCTAGCAGCAATATAAATATATTTTAAGAGAAAAAAATCCTTGTTTTTTCTCTCTCTCTTTTAACTTTTCTGTTTCATCGTTATCAAAATTGTTTTATTGAGAAAATGAGTCGTACAAGATTTTAAGGATACATATGAATTCTTTTTCCGTTTTTTTTTGTTGTTATTGACAATATATTGGATACTTCAATTCGATGTTTAATAAAACTAGATTGCCTCTAAAATTCATCATGTTGGTTTTTTTCTTTTTATTAAGTTGTACATTGACTCTCAAATACTTAATTAGAATATTTATAAAATTTATACTAATTAGAAAGTTTATCATAGTGGTTTTCGATTATGATTAAAATGGAATTCAATTATAAATCAATTCATCTCCTATAGGACAAAAATTTCAAATACCTATAGCAGAAATTCACAGAAAAAATTTCCGAGTGTTCTCTCGCTTCAAATTGTTGATCCTTTCTTTTTTCACAGATCTATTTTAAATTATCATGTTCTTTTGAGTATGGATGTGGAGTGTGAGTGTGAGTGTGTACATTTCTTTCATCCACACCCACACCTTACCGACATGAATTTTCGATTACAAATATGAATGTATCATCTACGGTCTATTCTAGCAATGAATTGATTACTATCAGTTGGACACCAATATCAAATATATGTATTGATGAGTTTATTAGAATTTATTCTCTTGAGATTCCTCTTTCGGGAGATAATGAAATATAAATTTATGGATTGAAAGTTTTCCATTTAAATAAATGATATATTATTTAGTTTTTTATTTTGATTAGTTTGTAGTTATTTCGATTATGAATTTGTAAAACATCAGCAAAGTAGTATATCATGGCAAATGACAAATTTATATCATCAACTTGAATTTCATTATTATTCTCGTGATCATAGTTGTTTTGGTAATTATACATTAATTGGCAAATCTTCTGTTGTTGGACCATTAAATTATAATGAATCAACACGTATTCATTTAGCTTATGGTAATCATATTGATGAAATGGATGTTTCATATTTAACAAATATATCTGAATATATTCCTCAATATCGATATGAATTAAGTCCATCTTCTTTGAATTTTCATCCAAGTGAAACAACAATAACATATACAGCATTCGATATATGTAAAGAAAAAGCAGTTATAAGAGGACCACAAACATTTATTGATCATAGATATATGCATATTATTTTATTAGAAAATCTTCAAGCATGGACAGTAAATGTAACTTGTTTACTTCATATTGGTGATATTAGTTATGTTAGAGGTATTGGAGCTTTATGGGATGCATTTATAACCCAAATACAACCAATAGCTGCTCTTGTACCTTATATGGTTGAAATTGGAAATCATGAGTATGATCATCTTACAGAAGAAAAGAAAGATCTAAGTAAAGCTTCAAGCCCAGGAGGGTTTCGACCTGTTTGATAAGATTTATACATGAGTAGAATCAGTCCATACTCGACTAAAATATTTATCACATCTAAACTTAATTGATAAAATTAAATATTTGTTTTAGGGGTAATCATGGTACTGATTCAGATGATGAATGTGCTGTTCCAATGGTTCGTCGTTTTCATTCTCCATCAAATGATAATAGTTTATTTTGGTATAATCTTGATGTTGGTCCAATTCATAGAATTTATTATTCAACAGAACATGATTTTCGTCGTACATCACTTCAATATTCTGGGATTGAAGATCTTCATTCAGTGTGAAAAATACAATAACACAATTAAAAGAACATCTAGATAAATATCAAAGGCTTTCCAATGAAATGTGTCCAACTGGCTTATGAAAAAACTCTTTTCGAATTTACAGATCAAAATAATGAAGTACAGAAAAGAATTGTGAGTCTATGGTCTTTTTGATTTCAAACTGAATTTTGGAAAAAAAATACTACCCTTTTCCACAACAACTTCGAGTCTTGCGGGTCTTTAGAATTATGATGATGATATGTATAGTATATACCTCCTACTTTTATAAGGTGCGGATCTTGGGGTCTTTAGATGTATGCTGATGACGTGTATAGTATATATGCCTATTTTCATAGGATGTGGGTGCGGGTCTTCTTTTGACTCACATCCACATTTCGATTTTTCACTTTTTTTCTTATGTTAGATGGAAGTTAATGAAGGTTTTAATGATTTAGTTATTATCGAAGGAAATCATAGAATTAAATCGAGTGCCATTATTATACTAAGCTATTCAAGTGCTCATGTGTTTAATGATATATTCTAGAGAAATAGGATTGATTTATTATTATTATCATCCAAACCCATATTGTTTATACTTTTTGATAATATTTGTAACGAATAAACGGAAAAAAGAATGCAAGACTAATGACATTCTGAAAATATTTTGACAACACTATCAAACATTTCTTTCAAAAAATAGACCTATTCCTACTTCCTGTTATTAAAGAATATGTTTTATTCAAAATCAGAAAAAGAGAAGATTTATAAAGGAAACTTCTTTCATATTATAAGGCTTTGAAAATTATTTTTGATGTTTATAGAACGAGTATTTACTGAGATAAATTCTAATTGATGGGCTTTCTCTTCTTTGATACTTAGATGAATTTGGTATAAGTTGTTAGATCGGTTCGATAGTATCATGAGTGATCACCTTTCATCCAATCTAACCTTTCAAAATCACATAATTCAACATTTTACGACCCACATTTGATCAATAGCACCCATCACAATCTTAGTAGAAGTTGTTGAAATGATAAAATCGTTCCTGCATCCAGTGGCTTGTTCTTTTCATATAAATTCCTCTTATTGAACACTTTATCTTAACCTATTCGGATTCAGTGAGTATTTCGATGACATCGGCTCACTAAGGGAATCTATAATCGCTCGTTAGATCTACCATAAGGATTATACTATTCCATCTCTAGTGGTCGATGGAACCATGATTGATTGACGTACTCTTATAGTGAACTTTTAAAAGATATGATAGATCTTTCAGTTGAACAGCAGTATATAAAGAATAATATTTATTCTATCTTGAGTTATCTATTGAACTGTAGACATTGTTGTATATCCCGAGAGAAACGCAAAGTTAATGAAAAAAAAACAATCTTATGAACGATAGAGCCTCTGTTTAAGAAACATTTCTATATTTCTCTTTGGAAATTGTTCGTTAATTTCTAATAAAAAAAAATATGCTAGAGTAAAGCAAAAGAAATAAAATCAATGTTTTCTTTTTATTGTTTGTATACAATTAGAAACTCTGCCATTTAATTTTCTCCTAATTTTTGATAATTTCGATTGTGAATATTGTTTTTCAGATATTGATTGTAAACCGTTTCTTGGTACTGATGTAATTGTATTTTGATGATTTTCAATTGCTTTTAATAAAACAGGATGATTTTTCGGTAATGATAATTGTCGAATATGAAGTGTTTTTTGATAATAAAATACCGCGTTAAAATAATTTTTTAAAACAAAATAATTTAATACAATGAAGGTACCTTCATGTTTAGATACCCATAGACTAGATTTTATAACTATCATCACAATTAGTTTTTGAAATTTTTTACTATTATAGAATTTCCTTTTTAAAAAAACAATTATATATTTTGATAGTACTTTGAATTTTCTATCTTCCTATATATTTGTCTACTGCCTTGCATTTGTCTATTGTCAAAATAATTTGAGTACAATGCAAACACTCTCCATTGACAAGTGCAAAAATTCGCCGCTTTTTCAAATTATAGGTACTATGGAAATAAATCTGGACAAAAGTGATTATGTATTCTAATAGAGCTTTAAATTCTCTATCATTCTGTATATTTTTGTCTTATATTTACGTGTTGAAGAATAACGTCAATAATATTTAAACACCCTCTTTGACAAATCCTAAAATACTGGATATTTTGCTATCACTGTCCTTTTTATTTCCAGTTTATTATCACTTTTATTATTACTATAGATATAACTTTTGAAAGAAATAATTATATGTTCTGACAATGAATTATCTTCTCAATTATCCTGAAGTTCTGGAAAAAAAACGAAAGAGATAGTTAAAAAATCTAGTTCTTTTATAGTTTGTCAAGGAGTATGCCTGGATCATACTCAAATTATTCTTCTGCACATAAATGCAAGATAAGACAAAATATACAAAATGATTAAAAAACAAAAGAAGTAGCGAAAAATGTCAGTTTTCCCACTTGTCGATGGAAGGTGTTTCCATTGTACTCAATTTATTTTGATAATGTATAAATGCAAACTAAAATATAAATATACAGGATAATAGAAAATTCCACGGACTTTCAGAATATGGTATTATTTTTTTAAAAATATGTATTTATAGTGATGATATACTCAAAATATTAACGAAAACTATTTTTTTCTGAGCATATATATATAAAGACAATTGTATTAATATTATTAAATATATGTTAACATCATCATTAGATGATTCGATCTGTATATAGTTAATCAGCGTTTTTCTCAATAAAGACTCAATGGAAATTAATGAATAAGGTGCGTAATCGATAAAGCTCATCGAGTTCTATCGGAATCTATGATTGATCTAACTTGGTCACCCTGTGGGAAAATCCTAATGGGTTTTAATAAAATAATTAATAAATAATGAACTAATTAGCGTTTTTCTCAATGATAATTAGGTTGAAATTAATGAATAATATGTGAAATTGATAGAGCTCATCGACTTCTATCTTTATTCGTCGTTGATCTAACTTCTGAGCGAATCGCGACGAATTTTTCGAGAGTTTAAAGGTATTTTGCTAATTTTTTCTCGGTATTCAGAGTTTTTCTCTCTGATAAAAGGGTCAATTGGAGAAAATGAGTAATGCATTGGATAGACCTCGTCGAGTTCTGTTTTAGTCTAACGTGTGAGCGAATCCATTCAGGAAGTACCCGAATTCTGACTTAGAATATCCTACGTGAAACAGAACAGATATATGGAACTATGGAATATTATTTTTGTCTTCTTCGAATTAGCCATTAAAAGAATAATTTTCTTTTTTATTTTATTCTTAACATTTGAAATTTTCTAAAAATAAAAATATTATTTTTTAATAAATTTTTCGAAATCTATTAATTTTTTTTATTGAAAATATCGTTTATAGATGTCGCTTGTGAATCTTTTTTTTTTCTTTGAAAATAAATCAATAAACGTAGATAAAAATAAATAAATAACTAACTAAAATACAAAAACGAAAAAAAAAAATTTTCTAAAACTAATCTTACTGATAAAAGTCAATCATTTTATTTTCCGAAGAAAAACAAAGCAAGTAACGGTACAACACCGTAAGAAGATAAAAAAATAACTTATTCAGATGCGTACATACAAACAGAACAAGCAGAACTCAACTAGATTTTTTCCCCTCTTTTATAGATTATGACGGGCTTTTCTAAAGTAGCCGTCTATCGACAAGATTTGCCACCACGTGGTGGTTATTCTCCGATACCTTGGGCACGATTACCTTCGCGTCGTATTCCTCTATGGCCATTTGTTTCTCTTTGGTTAGCATCTAATATATTTGGATATTTTTATCATATGTCAGAAAAACGTGAATATTGGCGAAGTGGTAAATAAATAATTCTTGTTTATTGAAAAGAAAAAAACAACAAATTTTTGTTTTCTAGAAATGGAAATGGATGAAAGTCGTTCATGTATTGAACCAGTATTATTAGCTGAACAAGACCGTATTGTTTTAAGACAATATCGTGCTAATCGTGATGAAGAAACAAAATTAATGAATGATGTACCAAGTTGGGAAGTTGGTACATGGTTTGGTGAAAAAGTATTTAAATCTCGTACATTTTTTCCTGATCGACCACACGTACTTGATTATTATGGAGTTGCTCGTCCATCCACACAACGTTTAGATATAAATGCAAGTCAGTGGCAAATTTAAGTGAAAAAAATAATAGAAACTTTCTTATTTTACGATATTCGTCCTTTAGTTTATTTGTTTTTTCTTCTCCTTGTAGAATATATATTGAAGCGTTTCAAATCTTTTTTTTTTCTAGATTGAAATTATATATCTAAATAGTCGTGTTTGTGCGGGCACATAAGTCACGACATAACCATATTATCAAATGGCGTTACATATTATTTGATTTTTTTATTTTAAAAGAAAAACATTTTTTTTTCTTGTTTGTTTTGTGTGTTATTATTCTTTTAAAAAGAATGCAATCACCGACTAATAATCATTATTTACCTGACGAATTTAACGATAATTTTTTTTACAATGATGATCATGAAAATAAACATTTATTTTTGCAATCAGAACCAATTATAAACGATCAACATGATGAGGAAGAAGATGAATATTATTTACGTGGACCAATAAACGGTAATAATGATGAAAAAAAAAAGAACTCTACTTAATATAATTTACTCTTTTTTTTTATTCTTGTAGGTATCGAAACTGGTTTAGCTGGATTAGAAATAAAAGGCAAAGTACGAACATTAAGTCCGGTTCTTTTCTATCAAACAAATACTCGATATTTAATTATAAGTAATAATGAATTAAAATATTTACCAGCAGGTAAATCAAACAAAGAAAAATTATTATATCAATTAGTATAATTTGAAAGAGTAAAAGAAATTTATTGTAAGAATGGGTGCATAAGAGAAATATATTTTAAAATCATACAAGTCTTTTTTGTTTTACTAAGAAATTCTCTATTTCAAAGTTCTATAAATTTATCTATATTCTTTTCAACATGTCGTAAAAGTAATGTATACTGTATTTTGATCGAAAACAAAAATATAAGGATGTAAAGGTAAAGAAGATTTCTTTTTTCATACACTATCATTTTCAAAATTTCGGCCTTTTGATATTTTCTCTTTTCGGTCAAAGGTGAAAGAGTTAAAAATCATTATAAGTTAATAAATGATTTCCGTTCGAAGATCAGCATAAAAATAAACAATTGAAAAAAAAAGGATACTCTACATTAAATTATGAAATACTAAAAATAAATAAACTTGTCAATTCCATATTGTATTGAGAATAGATTCTATTAGAACTATCGAAAATTGACCATGTTGAGGATAGATGTAGAGTAATTACAGGAGAAAAAAACTAATGACACTTGTGAAAATGAGCCAAGATCAAGTGTTCGGTTTACTGTACAAACTTGTTCAATACCGCAAACATCAACTCATCGAATGCTGATGCAATATCTCTTATGTTTGTTCAATAGCTCTAAGATGAACATTTGATTCGGACTCATTTTCACAAGTGTCATTAACTTTTTCTTCAGTGATTACACTACATTTTCCTTAACGTAACCAATTTCAAAAAATCGTTAGAATCTACTCCTAATACAATGTTGAATTGGTGAGTCCTTTTTCATCAAATTTGACTGATAGTTTTCGTTTTGACATTATTAGTGGTTGATTAGAATTTTCACATGAGTGAAACTATTTTAATTTTAATGAAGATAAGATGAAACTGTGAAAAAGAACGATACGTAAATTTTTTGAACTGTTGAAGAGTTATTCATGGGTTTTTTTTTTCGATCCAACTTTTGGGATACCCTATTTACTATTAAGAGAAGTATTCCAACTGATCAATCGCTCTTTTTTCCTCAGAACATACATGACGGCATACATTTCTGGTTTGATGATGAATCCAGTTCCCTATAATGATTGTTTTGTCTAAATTTTATGATATAAATCAGAGATGAAATCGATTCTATCTTTGACCTTAATATTCCATATTAGCACAATAAATTGGATATAGTCATATAGTTTTCGAGGAAAAAACAATTGGTAAGCTGATGGATTCCTCTCGTAAGATTTATAAATATAAATGCTTGGTCATTTCGAAATATCTTTTTTTGCTTAAAGAATTATCCATTAGATTTATTCATATGATATTTTATATTTTAGAAATAGGAAATTTAACCAATCTTGTCTATCTTGATTTGTCACACAATCGATTAAAAACATTACCATCTCAAATTGGTTCGTTATATTCATTTTTCGCTATAATCGAGAATTATTTTTGGGTAGCAAACATTTTTTTTTGAAATTTTTCTTCAAAAAAATTTGAATTATATATATGTATCAATCTTCAATCTATATTCTTGAGACATAATGAAGTACTGCTTGTCTGAACATTTTCATGATCTAACTCACATTTTACAAATGCATAGGAATAGTGAACGTGTACTAAGTTGGTTTTTTTTCGCCGTTCAAAATTTCTAAAGGAAGCATAGTTAAAGACATCATCGACCAATTGAAAATCTTCCAAACTAGTTGCAAAAGACATTTATGAAATGATAGAATCGATCCTAGTATTAGAGCACATCAAGTTTAACAGGTTACTCCCGGAGAAAGTCGTAAATCTGCCATCCCTTTGATCTCATTTTCAATAGAATAGAAAGATAGATCATCAAATTTTGCACATTTCTATATATACATTTTTTGTTTTGTTAAACGCAAAAAGAATTTTCCACGACTAACTAATCTTAGAGATCTATTGGTTTCGAGCGTTTTCAATATAACTATGGTAATCATAATCTTGTCTTTTGTAAACTCAATATGAAAACTAATAGTGTAGATTGACATAAGTTTTTCATTCTCTACAAATTGACTTAGTGATCATATTTACAATTATCTTTTGTCATAGATTATGTAAAGTCATACAGGTGTGATATCACACCTGTATGACTTTACATAATCTATGACAAAAGATAATTGTAAATATGATCACTAAGTCAATTTGTAGAGAATGAAAAACTTATGTCAATCTACACTATTAGTTTTCATATTGAGTTTACAAAAGACAAGATTATGATTACCATAGTTATATTGAAAACGCTCAAAACTAATAGATCTCTAAGATTAGTTAGTCGTAGACAATTCTTTTTGCATTTAACAAAACAATAAATGTATACAGAAATGTGTATTCTTTCCAGACCAAGGCCCAATCGAATCATATTTTGATACTTTCAATGTTGTTTCCTAACCGCAATATCTGAAGATACGAAACACTTTTCTCCAGTTCTTTGTATTCGATGACTTGTGCACCTTATATATTCTTCAGACGAATCATCTGAGAAATGTATAGGGTAGAGCCCATCGAATCTCAAATTTCTGGATTAGGATTCGGCAGAATTTAACATCGTGCCAGTTATTGAAATCTTTAATATTCTAGGAAAATATGTATAAAAAAATGTTTCTTTTTCTTCTAGGAGATTTAATCAATCTAAAAAGACTTTATCTTGAATCAAATTTTCTTAAAAATTTACCATACGAATTAGGCAAACTCTATCTTGAAGATCTTGGTAAAGGCATTTTTATTTAATATTAAAGAACAAAAAAATTTTTTTAAATAGGTTTAAATAATAATCCACTTGGTGATCATATCTTAAGTCTATTTGCTCGACCTAATGGTACACGTGAAGTAATGAATTATCTACGTGAAAAATGGAATTTACTTTGTTCTTTTTCAAAAATGTCTTCGTATAAGGTAAAAAAGACAAATCTATGAAATTCAAATCAATATATTTATTTGGACATTTTGTTTTTCTTAGATGCCATTGTCTTGGGATAATACAGAAATAGATTCGAATGAAAATAATTCTAATATTTAACCTAAGATTTTTATTTATTTATTTTTGTTTTTTTTCTTTGGCTTGCTCAATCGACTATTTCTCTCATGGTATTTGTGTAATTAAAAAAAAACAAGGATACACACACATACAAACGAGCTATCAATATTATTATTATCTATTTATGAATTTTTTTTCTTCCTCTTCTTCTTCTTCCTCATTTTTTAATTTCTTCTTTTTTTGCTTTGTTGTCAATATTAGAAGAAAACAAAAGAATCTTGTGATGTGTGGTTTTGACTTTTTTTGCAATCAAAAAGAATTTTTGCTCAAAATTTCAAAAAAAAATAATTATAAGGTGCTGACATAACAGTACATATTTTGTTTATCTTTTTAATGTAACAACACGAAGGATTCAAAATAAAAAATTTAAAACAACTATTCTTTATATTTTAGATTATTTTTGCTTTTTTGTCTGGTATGTGAGAATTCAATTCATTTGAAAAAAGATATTTCATAAAGTCTGAAATAAGATTCTAAACGATACTGAAAAATTTTCTTGGTTTTTGTTACAATGAAAAATTAGTTTCTATCGTTTGTCTCAAATCGATGCACTATCAACTTTTGTCCTTGAAAATAAACTGACACATAAAAAATCAATTTCACTATTTTTCTAAATACTTTTACATTCAATATAGAACTTTGATTATGGCAGTTTGAGTTAAGTTAGTCGTTTTGAAATTGAGTAATACAGATATAATCTAGAGAAATTCGGCACATGATGTTACGTAGGAATGCAATCGTGCTGGTAGTCACTGATCTTAGATAGAGCGTTGTACTGATCTAGAGATGTACATATAGAATGTTGGTGAACACACGATAAAACTATGGTGATCTTACAAGGAGACATTTTCAACTGATCAATCATTTTTGAATTCGGATTTAGCACATAAAGTAGATCCCAGTGAGATATAAAAACCGTCAAAAGAATAAATTTCCTTAGACCTTCTGTCCTAAGTTATAGGCATTTTACTAGAATTTCAGTCTCTGGTATGGTATATACTAACCAATCGAATGACAGTATTTCCGTTTGTGACCTTGCTCACAGACAGGTCTATTTATCAGTAGAATATTCGAAAAATTTCAGCTCAAAAGAATGTTTCCTTCTCTAGATATTAAAGTCTCGAAGATCACTCATATTCCAGAAAAGATCCTAGAATTTTTTGTGGTTTTTTTTTGAACTTTAATATCTCGAGAAGGAAACATGCTTTTGAGCTGAAATTTTCAGGATATGCTACTGATGAATCTGTCTGTCTGTAGGCAAACCTTCAGATCAAAACATCGCCATTCGATTTGTTGGTAATACCATGCCAGAGATTAAAATTCTAGTAAAATGTCTATAACTCTATACAGACGGCTTAACGAAGTTTATCCTTTGGAATTTTTTTTCATATCTCACAGGAGTCTACCTTATGCAGTGAATTCAAATTCAAAAAAAGATTTATCAATTGAAAACCTTCTCTCGTAAGATCGCTGCAGTTTTATCATGCATTCATTGCCATTCTATTTGTGCATGTCCAGATCAGTGCACCGTCATCGTTGCATTCATACTGTTACATAAATCGACATGTAAAGAAATGAAAATATTACTCATTATCCAAATCGATAGAATTATACATCGATATATTAAGAACATAAGCGGATAAAACTAGATTTTTACAATATGTAAGCACTTAAAGTGATTAGCGATAACACTATGCGGACATACAAGCTAAATATAGAACTGTAAATATAATTCAGACACTTATAGATAAGGAACCTAATGATACTTTATATTTCTGAGGTATTGTTTTATAAATTTATTCTTTTGCTAAAATTAATAAGAATTTGATTTTTTAAATTCAATTGAAATGAATTCACAAATAGTGAAAACGTCTTTTAGTGTAACTCATATATTGAATTATTCAGCTCTCGTATTTATCACTTATCCATATTATATTCAAAAATGGCAAACTAATATTTCATTCGAATTTTACTAACTTCAAATGAATATTTTTTTTTTCTCTTTTAGAATTCGACCTTTTTTGTCAAATTTTAAACAAGAACACGAATGTCTGGCGTCAGTTTAAACTATGTAAATGATTTTGTAACTCAAAGACAAATTAAATTTTTTATTTATCCATTTAATTTAGCATACTTCTTTATCAGTTGATCAGTCATCAATATATCATTCTCAACATAATCATTCACCACAACAATATTATTATCAATCAATTCAACAACAACAACAACCATCTCATTTTTATCCATATCAATCTTCATTATCATTAACAAATACATCTTCAAATTCTAATGATCATCAACAAAAATCTACTAAACGTTCACTTCCATTATCAAGAGATGATTCAATTAAAAAAAAATTTGAATGTAAAAATCACAATAAAAAAATTTTCGAAAAAAAAAATTCTTTCCTTTTTATCTAGGGAATGAACTTGAAGTAACTGGTAATGTTAGAAATTTATCACCAACATTATGGACATTATCACAGTTAACTGTTTTATATTTGAATGACAATCAATTAACACGATTACCATCTGAAATAGCTTGTTTAGCTAATCTAGTCACACTCGATCTATCAAATAATAAATTGAGAAATCTTCCGTCAGAAATCGGTATGTTTCATTAATATAGAATGATGCAATTCTAAAATTTACGAGTTCCAATATTATTCTACCACAGGGGGGGGGGGGGGAAGGAAGGGGGAAACTAAAATACTTGACAATGAAGCACGACGAAATTTGACTGCCTCTCCTGTCTTCTAATCATAGTCACCTTTTGTGAAACACGATCTAAAGCAAGTGTTGAAATACAGAGGTAAAACTTTGGAATTCTTTCCCTCACAGATCGTGACAGACGTCATTGATATACAAATTAAAGACTGTATGCCAATCATGCCTTGTTATAATATACGAACTACTTTCTTATTGCATTTTAAGAGTATTAATCAAAAGAATGATGACGATGTATGTCGCAAAATAGAACGAATAAAATAATCTTCTGTGATCAGCAACAACAGTTATATTGTGTTTCACGTTTTAATTCCGTAGAAATTGCCCTAAAAGCTGTTTTTTTGGAAAACAGCTAAAACTCTTTAAAAATGAATAATTACAATTAAATAGTTTGTTTTATTCTGAAATAATCTATAATATATATCGATGATGAAGAATACGGGGTCTGTATAGAGTCGTCAACAACCGTATTGTATTGTTTATAATCGTTTTATAATGGTTTATTTAGTTTAGTATTATATTTGTATATCCCTATGACGATATACAATCCCCGTGTGCGAAGATATAAAGCAGACATTAGATTCTTGTAAATCATGATATTTCGTTGTATACAAGACGGAGATATATGATCGTATTACTGAACTATGTAAATCGCCATATCTCTTGGAATGTTGTCATATGCGATCGTATTTGTTTGACTCGAACGCTTGAAAAAATTGCAGAATAGTTGCCTATCAAAACAATTTTTTGATGAGACAGAAGCAAATTGAAAGATGGAGGAATTGCGCATTGAAAAGGTGGAATGGTAATGAGGCGAGTATTTAACGTATCGATAGAGACGGAGCAATAGTGCAATGACTTATTAGTTGTACTGTGAGCCTGTAATTTGGGTATGTATCGGCAAATAATCAGAAGTCGCACAAGGGTCTTAAGATTGGTGAGTGTATAAGATAATGGCTCATAGAGATAGTCAAAAATTCTAAAACTCTTGCTAGTTTGATGAGGTCATAATGAATAATTTTTAATTATTGAACGCATGTACACCTCCGTTCCCACATTCTCCGCTTTCGCAACTTCTGCAAATAATGTCCAAATAGAATTTCGTGATTTTGTTAAATGAAATATACTTTTTACAACGATACAAATATGCAAAACTGGTCACTTTGTTAAATAGATTTTAGAAAGATTTACTCAGAATCCAAAGAAAGAAAGTGTAAACAAAATACGAGAATATGATTTTAATGTTTCGATTTATTGAGATTGATATCGAAATTTTTTTTTGTCCATCTAACAAATTGGCTAATAATCAGATGTGAGAATATAACATTCATTTTAGAAAAATTTTTATTCAAAAAAAAAAAATATTATAATAAATCTTATATGTCGACTTTCCTTTCTTGTTCCCAAAGATCATTGATTTCGTTTGATTTGTAGTTTAATAAAATTTTTCCGTATATGAAAAAATCTTTATTTTTAATCTTTTTGATTGATAGGTGATCTAATTACATTGCGTGAATTAAATTTAACAAATAATTCTATTCGAAATTTACCTTATGAAATAGGTAAATTATTTCGTTTACAAAGTTTAGGTAAATTAATTATTCTATATTTAAAAAAAAAAAGCAATTAACTTATCATTTACTCCATAGGACTATTGGGAAATCCATTACCAAATGAAATTTTTGCAATTTATACTGAATCAAATGGTTTACAAAAATTATTAGCTTATTTTCTTGATAATTTTTCGACATCTCTCAATGGTATAAAGAAAAAAAAACAAAAGGAAAACTTTTATCAGATTGCCATGAGTTTTGTTTTTCTTTTCCCCCAGCTTCTTCTCTATATTTTCGAAGTATAGGTATTATTATTTTCGACGTTATTAAATTTTCTTGTCAATATGATACAGAACAAATACAATGACAATTTGAAGCAAACATTTTTAATAGGTGAGCTTGCAATATATTTCTACTTTTCATATGAATTTTAAATCATTTTTTCTATGAACTGTAAGACAAACATAGTGCAAAGTACAATGTATGTAAACATGAAGCGAGTGTTAGGGTTACCCTAATTGTTTTTTTTTCTTTTTTCTTTTTTTTTGTATTGGCTATTTAATAATCATTGTTCGTTTAATACACCTTCAATATTTACTTACTTGTTGCAAACTAATAGCTTTCGTTTAAAATAGAGAGAAAAAAAAAATTGTATTCAATTTATATACTAACGAATGAGTTTTCGTAAATAATATTACTGATGCAATCATACTGATAATCATTAATAATTAACCACTTTTTTTTTTATTTCATTCACAATCATTAGACGATATAATAATCAAAATCTTCATCTATACATTTCCTATTCGATCATTCTGCGTCTTTTTATTTTTTTACACGTATGCATGAATATTTTTTTTACCTTTAACAACTGTCAACAGTGATGTCGTTACCAAGGTGTACTGTATAAGAGCTATACCGTGCGTCACTTGTTTACATATTATAACATAAAAAAGAGAGGAGATGACGGAAAGGGAAAAAATCAACTGTATGTTCTATCTAGAATAACCCATTGGATATCTCCTTATTTTTGAAAGCATTGTGCTCCAAAACATACATACAAATATTCTTGTTTATTGTTCGTTGCTGACAAGACAATCACCATATACAAAATAGAAGGTTTGTTTTATTGAGATAGAAAATTAAAAATAGCATATTGCGTTTTTTTTCATATTCACGGTCGACGTTAAAAGTGTCGTTTCACTTTTTATTTTACAATTGTGCATTAAGACGACACACCATCAATTCAATATGATTATATGTTTGTACAGCAGACGTTAAGTACTACTACCTATAGAAACGTTTTATATAAGAAATGTTTGAATAGAAAATACAATGAACATATAAAAATCTTAGTACTAACAAAAAAAAAAAAGACAAAAAACAACACAGTATAATATTACTATTAAAAGGTTCATTTTTATACTATTCATTGTTCAACGTTGTAAGTAAAATTTTTTTTCCACAAATAATGAATGGTGTCTTCTTGTACCTTGACATTTCGTGACATGATGCATTTTAAAAATGGACTGATACATTTTGATGCTTGAATAGACATTACCATTACTTCTACTAATCTTAAACGTCATACATTATCAAATACGTCTTCAGATTTTGATCTATGACAAATTTTTGCTTTATATAATACTATACTAATACGTTTCACATGAAGTACAATACATATAGTTCATTCAGATTTATATTTTTTTTTGCAAACTCGAACACTGTAAATAAGAGGCTACGAGGAAGTTACATGCCTATAGAATCTTCTAAAGTATACTTTTTGACATTAATATAAAGGTTCATCAAGTTTAGCCTGTATTATGAAACTATTAAGACTTGTAATGTTGTCTTTGTTTATTTGTTAGTACTAATGTTTCGATTTATTCATTGTATTTTATACTCAAACATTTCTTGTATTCTATATAGTGAGTACCCAAATTATTCGACAAGATTTGTTTTCAGTTTTTTTCCGTTAGTGTAAGTGCTAGAAAGAATTCAAATAATGATTCACATAGAGAAAATTGTTTCTAACGGGAATATAAAGGAATAACAAAAAATGATTATCAGATTTCCAAATATAGGGAGTCCATAAAAGTAAAACTCTAGTTTTTTAGTACCTAGAACGCAAAAATATAATTTTGCCTAGATTATATAGAACGATAGAGCAAACAGTTCTCTACAAAATGAGATGTTTCCGAGTTTCATACAACGTTGTTTAGCTAAGATATAGCAATTTTACGGAAGCCCCTCAAGTCGTTTCTTTTTGACTATTTCCTATAGAAATGCCATTTCTTGACCTACAATTAAATGACTGTATCTTAGTCAAAAATGTTAGAAAAAAACTCGGAGATGTTCTCATTTTGTAAAGAATAATTTACTCTAACGTTCTATGTGTTGAAAAACGAAGATTTTAGTTTTTCTAGAATTTCTATCTTTGAAAATCTGATAATAATTTTTGTTTCCTTATATTCTTTTTGCATACAGTTTTCTTTACTCAGTTCACTAATTGAAATCTTTCTAGTGTTTACGATAACAGTAAACAAATTTGGAAATTAAACTTGTTGAATAATTTTGATACACACTGTATATAATATTTAAACTCTATTTTATACTCAGATAATCATATTCAATCGATGTTTTATAATTTTGTCATACGATTTAAAAATTGAAAAAATGATGCGATATTCTTAATATTAATTGTATTTTTTAATTATTACTTATTACAGTATTTTCTCGAGATTTTCGTTTTTGAAAAGACAATGTAAAATTTCGCAAAGGCGAACATCTATTTATAGGAGCATAGTCACATTGTATGCGATGTAATAATGAAAAATTTCGAAAAGATCTGAGTCATCACTTGATGATTGTCTTATAGTAGATAAACACAGATTAATTGCTGACATGAAGCAATTTTTATATCATCTGAATGGTATTGATAATCATACAGAAAGAAAAAAAAACATATGCAACTAAGGTGATTCAAAAATGAGACATACTCCTGTTTGAGTGTGTCATTGTATTTCATGCATCATCGCTCATAGCCAATCGTATCACATGTATATATACCGTCCAAATGTAAAAAAAAGCGGTCGAAGAAAGAAGAAAAAAAAAATACCTGAGTTCTGATCCGTAATGACGATTGAAGAACGTTTTTTCTTTTTTGTTTTTTTTATTTATTCATCCATGTTATATAGATCTGTATATAGAAATTTTGATCATAAATCAACAGATAATATCTGTATGTCTATGGTTCTTTTCTATTCTAAAGATAAATTCATTTGTATATCCAATCTTTTCCTCTTTTTTCTTTCATCGTTATTTAATAATAACATAAGGATTAAAAATGCGTAGATATGCTCGCGTAATGGAAAGACAAGAAAACGTGACATAATGAAGGTAATAAAAAAAAAGAAAAATAAGTGAATTGGCATAGAAAAATAACCGAGGGTGGCTTGTTAAGTTTTTTTAATTTAACTCATTTTCTTTATCATATATTTCCCAGGGTTATAGACAATGTAAAGTCATATTCATCTATTATTTTGATCATTAAATATCTCTTGTCATTTCTTTTGTATGTTATAGAGTATGTTCATGTACTTAAGTCCTATTGAATCATCAAGAGAGCTGTTTTTGCCATTTTTTCCTCGAAGTTGGCCAACACAATTAATGTCGACTGAATAGATGCATGAGCATGCGAGCCTTGTTCAATACTCATCATCATCCGACTGAAAATAGATGAGCAAGAGAAAAGAGCACATCCAGGGACGGTGTAATGGCACATAGGTTTTTTTTCCTCCTTCTCAACTTTTTTTTTCTCTTTCGATGTGTTGAACAGAAAAGGAAAAGAAGATTATTTCCTTCTATGCCTCGTTTTTTTTTTGCCTTCACTACTTTGACCAAGAAAATATAGTGAAGAAGAGAAAGAGAAAAATGAGAAGTATAATCATAGTTTTATTAATATAATTCCTTACATATTTGTTTTTTTTTCTAACTCGAAAAAGTAGTAATAGATTTAGTACATGAAAAAAAAAAGCCTCGTTTCTGTGAGAAAGAAATGCGCTCAATGAATTGAAAATTAATAATAATAATAAAAAAAAAATCAAAGAAAAATTTCTGTTCTCGCTTGACCTTCACAGTTCTGTTTCTTTTACTCTATTATGAATACAATGATGACGTACGAACATAATCATTACAATAAGACAAGGGTAATGAGGGTGAGTGAAAACTATCGACCTTTCTCATGTACTTTCGCACAATAACAACATGAAGAAGAAGTATCAATTAAATAGATACTTTTAATATTTTCGATATTATTCATAATAACTTTCAATACATTTCTCATCTTTCTCTATCATCATCAATAGGAAAAGAAAAGCAAAGTCAAAAGACATATATATTGTTAATAAATTTTGTTTTTGTATTTTAGTTAAACAAAATGACGAGACCGTCCTTTTGATACACATTCAATAATTTATTTTTTTTACTATTTTTTACTTTATTCATATAACAAAAATCAATCCTATGTATTCAGTTACGGAATCACGTCGTGCTACTGTTTCATGTAAACATTTATTTCCATCATCCACTAATGATTGTTCAATACCAACATTATCATCATCTCGACGACATGTTAATAATAATTCAAATATAAAACGAAATAATAATAATAATAATAATAATAATAACAATAATAATAACACATTTACACGATCATCAAATCATTCAACAAAATTACAAAAAAAATTTATTGATAGACAAAATGAAAATCCTTCAAATTCGAATTTCCTTCATGTGCCATTTTGTATTGAACAAATAAATGATAATGGAAAAAAAAATGTATCAAAAAATGATAATAAATCATTTCAAACATCATTAAATCCGCTTTCTCCTGTATTTTATTCTACTCGACAAACTTCATTATTATTAGATCATAAACAAGATATTATATCAAGGTAAAGTTATTGATATGTATTTGAATTACACCTGTAACGGTTCCCAATCAAAACACTGAACTGGTGTTAATGACCTAATTCTTTTAAAAAGAACTGGTCACTACACTCAGTTCTCAATAAAAAAAAATTAGTTGTTAGAACTGTGAGCTGTCACAAGTCTAATTTAAATAGAATTAGAAGAAACAAAAATTTCAATCTAAATAGTTATTAAACAACGGAAATCTTTCTTATGTATTTGATGTCATGCTGAGAAAATATTTATTACGAAGAAAACAAAATCTATGAAATATTTTGTATTAACACCAGAAGGAAAAAAATTTCAATATTTTTTCGTTCTTATTAATTACATAGAATTTTTCCATGCATAAAAGTTTCAATTGAATACAATAATGAACGATACATTTAAGTAATTGTTAATTTAATAGAAATTATCTAAAAACAGAAGATGGCGCAAACTACTATTCATTATAAAAATCATTAGATGATTGAGAATTTTTTTTATGGAAATTGAGGCTTATAGTCAATACTTACATATTAATGATGTAATCAGAAGGGACTCTGTTGTCCTCTAGAGAATTAAAATATTCTACAAGGGTTGACATAAGCTTTCTCTAGAGAAGAGGATTACGAGGTATTGTGCCGATTTTAGTGTGTTGTATTCTGACTACACCAATAATTTAAATATATATGTATAAAGGTAATCGAACTCTATATAAACCTTAATACATTCGATAAGAAATTTCAAACAGACGAGATTCATTAATGAATTGTTACTAAAGTTCAATAGTTAATTTAGTAATGATATTTTCGTTTATTCAAATGAAATAAATAACTATAAGAGAAAAAGACATACTTTTGGTTATATAAAGAATATTCTATAATATTAAACTATTACTAACGACTGTATTATTGCATATTAGATTATATTCTGTTAACATTTCAAAGTAAATCTAATGAGGAAATACTGTTTCCAAATATGACCATGAGAAACCTCTCTTAGGTCCTCATTTATCGGTTTTCTAGACTGACAAATTTTTTATTTGATCTGTTAAGATTAAAGAGCATATCGAATTGTTTAGAAAAAAAAGTAACTTTTTCTACTTCAAATCATTACTTTTGTGGAATATACAGCCACTTTAATTCATACAATAGATAGATATTAATATATTAATGTGAAAATTTTTAAGATGATATTATTTTACTTAAAACTCATTTTCGAAAAACAGAAAATATTATTGATTTTATTGAGAATTCAATATTCTCTATATTCTGAATAAATCCAAAACGAGTTTAGAGAAATTTTTGTTAGTATGGAAAATCAACATGGTCGATAACTTATTAACGAATAGTTTTTTGATGAGAAAGCAATTGATCAGTTGAAAATGTTTTCTCGTAAGCTTTAAAACCTTCATCTAATTTCTCTTGTATTCAAAAACAAACGTATTTTATGTAAAACGATAACGAAATACAAATTTAATTAATCATATTCAAAATTACATTAATAAAGAAATCTTTTTTCTCTATAAATTCTAGTGATGCCAAAGTTCCAACATTATCCGAAACATCGGATTATAGTAGTGGTACTGATCTTGAATTACAATCAATTCAACATATACCACCACAAACCAATTCATCACCATTTACATTTGATTTTGATGAACCATCATTTTCATATTCAATAGAAAATATAAATAATCAAACAACATCAATTCGTCGTACATCTTTGTCATCATCTTCATCATCATCATCATCTTCAACATCACCATCATCAAGTATTAGTAATCTTTCTTCATTATCATCTTCATCTGAACTTCAAACAAATTTTAATAATCAAAATCATTTATCAAATAAAAAAATTTTATCATTATATAATAACAACAATAATAATAATAATAATAATAATAATAATAATAATAATACATTAAATGTTGCACCTATATGTCATTGTGAAAAAGAAAATTTTTCTAATCGTAAACGTAATCGTTTTAATTCTTATCCAATAAGACGTTATACAACAATAAATTATTGTGAAAATTGTCAAACTAAACGTATTAAATGTAATTTACGTGCAAAATATGATTCAAATCGACAACAGAAAGAACATTTTAATAATAATAATCGATATTATGATACAACATTAATACCGACTAAATTTACTATTGATTTAACTGGTCTTAATATAAGTTATACAATAGAATATCATGATAATATTAAATGTATATGTTCAACACCAATAATACCATATACAAATACATATATTAATTGTTGTAAATGTTTATCACCTAATAATTGGCCATCATTTTCAATGATAAATTCATTTAATGAATATACTAATCAATTATATTATATTAATATGCATAATAATTCTTGGATACAACAACCACAACAAACAAGTTCAACATTTAATTATCATGATTTTTATTTAACAAGATTAAATAATCATAATAATATATCATCAATTCATTTTAATGATAATGTAATTATTAATGCAATGGATCATTTACCATCGTATTATCTTCGATGTATGACATCCCCGATCGAAAGAGAGTGTGAGGGAAAAAAAACGAATTATCATTAAAAAATTTCTTTTTCTAATCAAACTAACTCATGGCGATCTGACCTTTTTTTGTTGCTTAATTGAAAGAATTACAAAGAGAACATCATTTGAAATATTACTTTGTTTTTCTATTTTAGCTATTCAACCACCACCAACACGATCGTGGCTACGTTTAGCATCACCAAATACAAAACAGTCAACACCAATATTTACAGTTATGAATTATAATATACTTTGTGATAAATATGCAACAAGACATATTTATGGTTATTGTCCATCATGGGCATTAAAATGGGAATATAGACGAAAACAAATATTTGATGAATTACGTTCATATTCAGCTGATATTATTGCTTTACAGGTTAGATTTTTGTTTTTGAAAAATAAATTTGTTTTAAAGAATCTTGAAATCATAAATAAATTTGAGTACAAAAACGAACTTTACCTATAGTATGAAAGTATTAATATTTTTTTCAAATATTTTCTGTTTATCATAGACGAAGCACTCATTTAATCAAGTAAATGTTATATTTTTAATATAATCAAATTCTATGAGAACGTTATTGAAAATAACCAGATGCCTATATTGTGCTTATTTTATTTATTACATTTTATATGTAACATAAGAACTACTATAGAATTGCTCCAATTGTAGAACATTACGTTTTCGCAATGTTTATTGTATTTAATATCATAAAAATACAGTACCCGACAAAAGTATTCCCCCCCCCCCCCCTTTGGATCTCAGTCACAATATGAGCTGTAGAGCTGAAAACTAGTGTGAACATAGTTCTCAACGAATGTTGATCAGTGACACCATCCGCATCCCGATTGCATGAAGTATAAGAAAGTTA